CCCACCCCTCCCCCTCTTTGTGTTCCCGTTATCTGCAACGAGCTTCACTTCGGCGGCTTCGCCCGGGACTTGGATTCTCATCTTGGACTAATACACCGACGCGGAGGGTGGGAGGGGGAGGGGTGCGTGACGTCAGCAGGCACACCGCGTGACGCTGCCGCATGCGGGTGACATCACAGATGTGACGTCACCGCTCACTTGCTGTGCAAAATATGTCCAGTCGGTCGTTTGAGGCTGAGTTGACCTAGGGGAGGTCCAGAACCGGTTCAAATAATCGTCACCGGTGGTAGCCGCGAGCGGGAATCGAACTCGGGTCGCCGGGTTCGTAGCGTGGCACTAACCACGACACAGATGTGACGTCACCGCTCACTTGCCGTGCAAAATAAATGCATTATTGCGCCCCCATCCCCTCAAAAAAACACAAGTGTATTTTTATAATGTTTTCATGGTGTACAGTCTGGAAAGTACCCACATGGCAAATTTCCAGTTTGTTGCATGTCGGGAAGTACGCTAAACATTTTGAACAGACTTTTCCCTTTTATATATATAGTGATGATGATGAATGAGCACGGTAACCAACGTTGATGTCGCCAAAATTAAACCCGCAGTGTGGCGCGCGGTGAAATGAAGCGTGGCGGTGGTGAGAGGTGGTGGTGGTGAGAGGTGGTGGTGGTGAGAGGTGGTGGTGGCGGTGAGGTGGTGGTGAGAGGTGGTGGTGGTGAGAGGTGGTGGTGGCGGTGAGGTGGTGGTGAGAGAGGTTGGTGGTGAGAGGTGGTGGTGGTGAGAGGTGGGTGGTGGTGAGAGGTGGTGGTGGTGAGAGGTGGTGGGTGGCGGTGAGGTGGTGGTGAGAGTGGTGGTGGTGAGAGGTTGGTGGTGGTGAGAGGTGGTGGTGGCGGTGAGGTGGTGGTGGCAGCGGTGGCGGTGGCGACGGCGGCGGCGGTGGCGGTGGTGGTGGTGGTGCTGGTGGTGGTGCTGGTGGTGGTGCGGGTGGTGGTGGTGGTGCTGGTGGGTGGTGGTGGTGGTGCTGGTGGTGGTGGTGGTGGTGCTGGTGGTGGTGGTGGTGCTGGTGGTGGTGGTGTGCTGGTGGTGGTGCTGGTGGTGGTGCTGGTGGTGGTGGTGGTGCTGGTGGTGGTGGTGGTGCTGGTGGTGTGGTGGTGTGGTGCTGGTGGTGGTGCTGTGGTTGTGGTGCTGGTGTGCTGGTGGTGTGGTGCTGTGCTGGTGGTGGTGTGTCTGGTGTGTGGTGGTGGTGGTGCTGGTGGTTGTGGTGGTGCTGGTGGTGGTGGTGTGGTGGTGCTGGTGGTGGTGGTGGTGCTGGTGGTGGTGCTGGTGGTGGTGGTGGTGCTGGTGGTGGTGGTGGTGGTGCTGGTGGTGGTGGTGGTGCGTAACGCGAGGCGCCTGAGCTCCAAGGTGACCCAGCTGGTGTCACCTTTCACAGCCGCCGCGTGTGAGTGGCTCACTCTCACTCGCCCTCTCTTGCTCTCTCTTGCCCTCTCCCAGTCTCTCTAGCTCTCACTCGCTCTCGGTCTCTCCCAATCTCAATTGCTCTCGATCTCTCTCGGTCTCTCACTTGCTCTCTCTCTCAGTCTCTCTCTTTTTTTACGATCAGAGGAAACAAGAAGATGCTCGGTGTAGTCGGCACTTTGCTTCGTTCATCATTTCGTCAGTCTTTGTCGGTCTCTCTCACTGTCTCTCAGTCTCTCTCAGTGTCTCTCGTAGTCTCTGTCTCGCTGTGTCTCTCTCTTTTACAATCACTTACCCATTCTCTCACACACACACTCGTTCTCTCACTCGCTCTCGCTCAGTCTCTCGTAGTCTCTCTCTCGCTGTGTCTCTCTCTTTAACAATCACTTACCCATTCTCTCTCACACACACTCGTTCTCTCACTCGCTCTCGCTCAGTCTCTCGTAGTCTCTCTCTCGCTGTGTCTCTCTCTTTAACAATCACTTACCCATTCTCTCTCTCACACACACTCGTTCTCTCTTGCTCCCCCCGCATCTCTCACGCACTCTCGTGTTGTCCCTCTTCTCTCTCGCTCCCTTCCTCTCTTCTTGTCTCACTCGGTGTCGCTCTCTCTCTCCATTTCCTTCTCTTCCTCTTGCTCTCTTGCCCTTTCTTACATTCGTGGCTTTATCACTGATTCCTCGAAAAGGCTGCGCGCCCATAACGGCGGCCCTTATCGTGATGTCGCAGCCGTCCCGCTGGAGGGGAAAACGCTTCCTCCAATTGAGACCATGTTCTCGTATTCTGATAGGATGTGCAGAATTAACTTTGTGTGCGTGATGTTGTGAGAAGTTGTGTGTGTGTCAATGTGGGTCAGTGTTTGTTGGTGTGTGTGGGTCTGTGTGGGTCAGTGTTTGTTGGTGTGTGTGTCACCGTGTGTGTGTATGGGTCAGTGTTTGTCTGTGGGTATCTGTGTGTGTGTGGGTCTGTGTGGGTCAGTGTCTGTCTGTGGGTATCTCTGTGTGTGTGTGGGTCAGTGTGGGTCAGTGTTTGTCTGTGGGTATCTGTGTGTGTGTGGGTCTGTGTAGGTCAGTGTTTGTCTGTGGGTATCTGTGTGTGTGTGTCAGTGTGGGTCAGTGTTTGTCTGTGGGTATCTGTGTGTGTGTGGGTCTGTGTAGGTCAGTGTTTGTCTGTGGGTATCTGTGTGTGTGTGTGTGGGTCAGTGTGGGTCAGTGTTTGTTGGTGTGTGTGTGTAGGTCACCGTGGGTGTGTATATGGGTCAGTGTTTGTCTGTGGGTATCTCTGTGTGTGTGTGGGTCTGTGTGGGTCAGTGTTTGTTGGTGTGTGTGTAGGTCACCGTGTGTGTGTGGGGGTCAGATTGGGTCAGTGTCTGTCTGTGGGTATCTGTGTGTGTGTGGGTCTGTGTGGGTCAGTGTTTGTTGGTGTGTGTGTGTGTAGGTCACCGTGTGTGTGGGGGTCAGAGTGGGTCAGTGTTTGTTGGTGTGTGTGTGTGTTACCGTGTGTGTATATGAGTCAGTGTTTGTCTGTCAGTGTCTGTGTGGTGTGTGTTGCGGGCTTGTGATGCTGGAACGGCGTGTTGGTGGCCACGAGTCCACGGGCTGCACAGAAGTGTTGCGGCCTCCTGCCGCTGTCATTGAGCTGACCTGGCCCGTGTCTTCCAGTCACTCCGACCCAGGTGCCTGCGCCGTGACCCACTCGGGCACTAGAGTCACTCACCAGGATGACTCTATCTCGAGGGGCCGCTCTAGCCAGCACCAGGGACGGGAGGTCATAGAAGGCATCCGACTCATCTGCTTTGCCTGCATCCACTGATAATTATTCTGTGGGGACACAAGCCACCACCACCACCATTGACAGGGAGGCGAGCCCACAGCAGCCGGGGACTCGCAGATTCCCACACCTCACCGCCAGAAGATGATGCGCTTCCTCAAAGTGAACCTAGCCTGGCACAGTTGTTGTGGTGACGTCATGACCACTTCGTGTTTTCTGGCTGTGTGTGTGTCTGGGGAGCGGTGGTGTAACGGTTATCGCACTGCGCTACAAACCACCTGGTGACCCGACTTCGGCTCCTGCTCGTGACCAACACCAATGGCGAAATATTGGAACTCGTCCCGGGCCTCCCCTAGGTCGACTCAGCCTTCACGAGTACCTGGTGCAGTGTGTGACCATCGGGACTGGGGAGACAAAGGTGGGGGGGGGGCACCCACCTCCCCCCATGTGCCATGCCGGCCTTCGTCGTTGCTTGGTAACAGCACAGTCCGTTGAAGGCTGTACGGGGGATCTTTGTGTCTGTGTATGTGGGCATTTGTGGGGAGCGGTGGTGCAGCGGTTAGCGATTAGCACGCTGCGCTACGAACCCGGCGACCCGAGTTCGATTCCCGCTCACTGCCACCAACACCAGCGGCGATTATCAGAGCCGGTCCAGAGCCTCCCCTAGGTCTCCTCAGCCTCAAATGAATAACCTGGTGCGGTGTGTAAAAACATCGGCACTGGGGAGACAAAGGTGACCGGGCGTGGTGTTGGCCACTCAACCCCGCGTGTGCCACAGTGCCGGTCTTCATTAGTGCTGCTACTCGCTCACAGCCCTTGCCCCAACAGTCTGTTGAGGCTACGCGGGGGATCTTTGTGTGTGTTTGCTTCCGCGTCTCTGTGTTTGTGAGTGTCTGTGGTCAGATGCATTAATGGACAGCCGACGACGATGATGATGATGGCCGACGATGATGATGATAGGGGCGGTGATGATGATGATGTTGGCCGACGATGATGATGATAGGGGTGGTGATGACGATGATGATAGGGGCGGTGATGATGATGATGTTGGCCGACGATGATGATGATAAGGGCGGTGATGATGATAGGGGCGGTGACGCGACTGCCCAGCTGTAGCATGTTCGCCGCTCGTTACAGAGGTGCTCGGTTCGAATTTGGCAGTCCGCCCCTGGTTAATACTGCGGTTGCGTGCGCACCAACCGTCAACAATTCGCGCCACCTGCTTCACAGTGGCGTCACTCGGAACGAGCAGCCGGACCATTCCGCCGCATGTGCCGGCATCGCCGTCCGCCAAATTTGCCAAATTGTTTCCGAATTCGTCACTTGGGGACCGCACGCATACACACGCAGCCGGCGATCATTGGCGCCTCCCTCCGCGGTGACCGCCCCGCGCCTCCGTGAGAACGATGGCGCCCAGGCCAAGCCCCGATCTCGTCGACCATCTTCGCGAAAACTCGCGGTCAACCTCGCGGCGACAGTGGCGGCGGCTTTTGGCATCGCGCGTAGTCACCGCATCGGCATCGCGCGGCGCTTTCAGATGCGCTTCTGCGGCTGTCTGGAAGGCTCTCTCCTCCCGATATTGAAAAGTGGTTTCTTTAGAACTGCTGTGTTCATTTTTTTGGCCTTCTCCCGCACCTGCGATTAGCGACGGTTCCGCTCCGTACAGAGCGAAAGAAGTTCGACAGAATCAGTCTTCGTGATGGAGGAATCCGTTACAACAACAATCACGAGTCGACGATGATTCGTGTCTTTTGTTATTTTTGTTGCAGGATTCGGGCAGCATGGACTTCAGCCCCAAAGAGTCGCCCCTCTACGTGAGTACCCCAGACAGCGACCGCCGGTCCTCGCGCGTGCCGAGTGGCGGCAATGGTGCCTCTACACCAGGCATGTCCAAAGTCCGACCCGCGGGCCAATCACGGCCCGCGGTCAGATTTCATACGGCCTGCAGCTTTGGTCTTATAATGTGTTATTTATGGCTCGCCAGCTCTGTCAGAATACATACATCATAAAACTTTAAAGATGTAATTCCTCCTTCCGCCACACGGTGGCAGCACCATTCTAATGCTCTCTGGCTCTGCATCCGTGCCGCGAACCCTTCTCGAGTCATTTCTGCCGTGGCGACTGCAAAAAAAAAGAGAAAAGTTGACAGTGAGGGCCGCCGCTTTCAGGTGCGGTGGGAATTACAATACTTCTCCACTCGCTGCTCTCCACCACCGCGCTGTCATCATCATCATCATCATCACCACCACCGTGGGCTCTCCACTGCTGGATGAAGCTCAGTGCCATGCCACGGACCTGCCGTGTGTTCTCCAATCACGTGGGCCCGTCTCTCCGTGTGATCCCACGCGTACCCCCTTGCAACACCTTTTCGCCCACTTCTAAGTTTTCGTTTCGTGTTCATGACCTTCTCCCTTCCCGTGGACTACGTCGGGACCCCCCTGGTCGCACCCCAACGCGCGCACGCACACACGGACAACAGAGGCAAAGTTCCCCCATGTAGCCTCGACGGACTGTGAGGGCAAGTGCTGTTAGCGAGTAGCGCCTATGAAGGGCGGCACTCCGCACGAGGCGGTGGGTGGCCAGCACCACGCCCTGCCGCCTTTGTCTCCCCTGTCGCGATGTTCATTACGCACCGCACCGCGTACTCGTTTGAGGCCGAGTCGACCTAGGGGAGGCCCAGGACCAGTTCAGACGATCGCCACCGGAGTCGGCGAGCCTCGAGCGGGAAGGGAAGCGGGGCCACCAGGTTCGTAGCGCCGACCGCTCCCCACGACACCACCACACGCGCGACGGGACGCCACGCACGGCTCGCTCCGTGCGCGCGCCCGCACCGTGGGCGTCGCGAGCGGTCGTCTTGACGGGGCGGTGGCCGCTCCGTGTGCCCGTTGCCCGCAGGGCGGCGCGCGGGTCCTCGTGACGTGCGCCGAGGGGACGCTGCCGCCGGGCGACGCCGACTTCTTCCTGGTGTTCGACGGCACGGCCAGCCGCCACGTGGCGCCCGCCACTCGCCTCAACGGCTGCACGCTGCAGGGGTTCACACCAGGTAGCACGCAACACGCACGTACAACACGCGCACAGCACGCGTACAACACGCGTACAACACGCGTACAACACGCGTACAGCACGCGTACAACACGCGTACAACACGCTTACAACACGCGTACAACACGCGTACAGCACGCGTACAACATGCGTACAACACGCGTACAACACGCGTACAGCACGCGTACAGCACGCGTACAGCACGCGTACAACACGCTTACAACACGCGTACAGCACGCGTACAACACGCTTACAACATGCGTACAACACGCTTACAACACGCGTACAACATGCGTACAACACACGTACAACACGCTTACAACACGCGTACAACACGCGCACAACACGCGCACAACACGCGTACAACATGTGTACAACACGCTTACAACACGCGCACAACACGCGCACAACACGCGTACAACACGCTTACAACACGCTTACAACACGCGTACAACACGCGCACAACATGCGTACAACACGCGCACAACACGCGCACAACACGCGTACAACACGCGTACAACACGCTTACAACACGCGTACAACACGCGCACAACACGCGTACAACACGCTTACAACACGCGTACAACACGCGTACAACACGCTTACAACACGCGCACAACACGCGCACAACACGCGTACAACACGCTTACAACACGCGTACAACACGCGTACAACACGCGCACAACACGCGCACAACACGCGTACTACACGCGTACAACACGCTTACAACACGCGTACAACACGCTTACAACACGCGTACAACACGCTTACAACACGCGCACAACACGCGTACAACACGCTTACAACACGCGCACAACACGCGTACAACACGCGTACAACACGCTTACAACACGCGCACAGCACGCGTACAACACGCGTACTACATGCGTACAACACGCTTACAACACGCGTACAACACGCGTACTACACGCGCACAACACGCGTACAACACGCGTACAACACGCGTACTACATGCGTACAACACGCTTACAACACGCGCACAACACGCGCACAACACGCGTACAACACGCTTACAACACGCGTACAACATGCGTACAACACGCGCACAACACGCGCACAACACGCGTACTACACGCGTACAACACGCTTACAACACGCGTACAACACGCTTACAACACGCGTACAACACGCTTACAACACGCGCACAACACGCGCACAACACGCTTACAACACGCGCACAACACGCGTACAACACGCGTACAACACGCGCACAGCACGCGTACAACACGCGTACTACATGCGTACAACACGCTTACAACACGCGTACAACACGCGTACTACACGCGCACAACACGCGTACAACACGCGTACAACACGCGTACTACACGCGTACAACACGCTTACAACACGCGTACAACACGCGTACAACACGCGCACAACACGCGTACAACACGCGTACTACACGCGTACAACACGCTTACTACACGCGCACAACACGCGTACAACACGCGTACAGCACGCTTACAACACGCGCACAGCATGCGTACAACACGCGCACAACACGCGCACAACACGCTTACAACACGCGCACAACACGCGTACAACACGCGTACAGTACGCTTACAACACGCGCACAACACGCGTACAACACGCGTACAGCACGCTTACAACACGCGCACAACACGCGTACAACACGCGCACAACACGCTTACAACACGCGCACAACACGCGTACAACACGCGTACAGCACGCTTACAACACGCGCACAACACGCGTACAGCACGCTTACAGCACGCTTACAACACGCGTACAACACGCGCACAGCATGCGTACAACACGCGCACAACACGCGCACAACACGCTTACTACACGCGCACAACACGCGTACAACACGCGTACAGCACGCTTACAACACGCGCACAACACGCGTACAACACGCGTACAACACGCGCACAACACGCGTACAACACGCGCACAACACACGCACAACACGCGTACAACACGCGCACAACACGCGTACAATACGCGTACAATACGCGTACAACACGCGTACTACACGCGTACAACTCGCGTACAATACGCGTACAACACGCGTACTACATGCGTACAGCACGCGTACAGCACGCGTACAGCACGTGCACAACACGCGTACTACATGCGTACAACACGCGTACAACACACGTACTACATGCGTACAACTCGCGTACAATACGCGTACTACATGCGTACAACACGCGTACAACACACGTACTACATGCGTACAATACGCGTACAACACGCGTACTACATGCGTACAACACGCATACAGCACGCGTACTACATGCGTACAACACGCGTACAACACGCGTACAACACGCGTACAGCATGCGTACAACACGCGTACTACATGCGTACAACACGCGTACTACACGCGCACTACATGCGTACAACACGCACGCACACACGACGACGGCCATTCGCCCCTAAGACGTCACCACGGCGCCTGTGCCAGGCCATGTGCACCTTGAGGCCACGGGAAGTGTCGAAGGCTCGCTGACGGGGTCACGGGACAGTCCCAGGTGCCGTGGGTTGACTGATCGAGATGACCGGGAGATCCACACCAACTGCAAACTTTTTTTATTTTACCCGCCTGGCGTTTCGCATGTTGTTGTGAGCGTCGCTCCTCTGCCCTCTGTTGTTGTTCTAGGGCAACTGCCTCCAACTGCCCAGTAGTGTGTCCTTCATACACTCACACACTCTCATGCACACACACTCACACACTCTCACACACTCTCACACACACTAACACACACTAACGCACACACGAACACACACTCTCACACACACAAACGCACACACTAACACACACTAACGCACACACGAACACACACGAACACACACACAAACGCACACACTAACACAGACACTCATACACAATGCGCTTGCTGGCTTTGGCGGCGGTCTGTGCTCCTAGCGTGGGAAGCGAGCCACGCGGTAATTCAGGCGAGCCACGCGCCGGCTGGCCACGCCGGCACGAGGAAGGAAACGCCGGCTTCCTCGATGATCTCCGTTACGGCGCTGCAGGTCAAGTGGCCGTGCCGCCCGGGAAGCCGGAGACGACCAATTACGGAATCGGTGACGACGATGAAAGCACGCAGAGCGAGATGGTTCAGGTTGTCCAGCTCCAGTGGAGACGCAGAGCGAGATGGTTCCGGTTGTCTAGCTCCAGTTGAGACACAGAGTGAGATGGTTCAGGTTACACAGCTCCAGTTGAGACACAGAGTGAGATGGTTCAGGTTGTCCAGCTCCAGTGGAGACGCAGAGCGAGATGGTTCCGGTTGTCTAGCTCCAGTTGAGACACAGAGTGAGATGGTTCAGGTTACACAGCTCCAGTTGAGACACAGAGTGAGATGGTTCAGGTTGTCCAGCTCCAGTGGAGACACAGAGTGAGATGGTTCAGGTTGTCCAGCTCCAGTTGAGACACAGAGTGAGGTGGTTCAGGTCACACAGCTCCAGTGGAGACACAGAGTGAGATGGTTCAGGTTACACAGCTCCAGTTGAGACACAGAGTGAGATGGTTCAGGTTACACAGCTCCAGTGGAGACACAGAGTGAGATGGTTCAGGTTACACAGCTCCAGTGGAGACACAGAGTGAGATGGTTCAGGTTGTCCAGCTCCAGTGGAGACGCAGAGTGAGATGGTTCAGGTTACACAGCTCCAGTTGAGACACAGAGTGAGATGGTTCAGGTTACACAGCTCCAGTGGAGACACAGAGTGAGATGGTTCAGGTTACACAGCTCCAGTGGAGACACAGAGTGAGATGGTTCAGGTTACACAGCTCCAGTGGAGACACAGAGTGAGATGGTTCAGGTTCACCAGCTCCAGTGGAGACACAGAGTGAGGTGGTTCAGGTTACACAGCTCCAGTGGAGACACAGAGTGAGATGGTTCAGGTCACACAGCTCCAGTGGAGACACAGAGTGAGATGGTTCAGGTTCACCAGCTCCAGTGGAGACACAGAGTGAGGTGGTTCAGGTTACACAGCTCCAGTGGAGACACAGAGTGAGATGGTTCAGGTTACACAGCTCCAGTGGAGACACAGAGTGAGATGGTTCAGGTTCCACAGCTCCAGTGGAGACACAGAGTGAGATGGTTCAGCTTACACAGCTCCAGTGGAGACACAGAGTGAGATGGTTCAGGTTCACCAGCTCCAGTGGAGACACAGAGTGAGGTGGTTCAGGTTACACAGCTCCAGTGGAGACGCAGAGTGAGATGGTTCAGGTCACACAGCTCCAGTGGAGACACAGAGTGAGATGGTTCAGGTCACCAGCTCCAGTGGAGACACAGAGTGAGATGGTTCAGGTTCACAGCTCCAGTGGAGACACAGAGTGAGATGGTTCAGGTTACACAGCTCCAGTGGAGACACAGAGTGAGATGGTTCAGGTTACACAGCTCCAGTTGAGACACAGAGTGAGATGGTTCAGGTTGTCCAGCTCCAGTGCAGACACAGAGTGAGATGGTTCAGGTTACACAGCTCCAGTGGAGACACAGAGTGAGATGGTTCAGGTTCACCAGCTCCAGTGGAGACACAGAGTGAGATGGTTCAGGTTGTCCAGCTCCAGTGGAGACACAGAGTGAGATGGTTCAGGTCACACAGCTCCAGTGGAGACACAGAGTGAGATGGTTCAGGTCACACAGCTCCAGTGGAGACACATAGTGAGATGGTTCAGGTTCCACAGCTCCAGTGGAGACACAGAGTGAGATGGTTCAGGTCACCAGCTCCAGTGGAGACACAGAGTGAGGTGGTTCAGGTTACACAGCTCCAGTGGAGACACAGAGTGAGATGGTTCAGGTTACACAGCTCCAGTGGAGACACAGAGTGAGATGGTTCAGGTTGTCCAGCTCCAGTGGAGACACAGAGTGAGATGGTTCAGGTTACACAGCTCCAGTGGAGACACAGAGTGAGATGGTTCAGGTTACACAGCTCCAGTGGAGACGCAGAGTGAGATGGTTCAGGTTACACAGCTCCAGTGGAGACACAGAGTGAGATGGTTCAGGTTACACAGCTCCAGTGGAGACACAGAGTGAGATGGTTCAGGTTCACAGCTCCAGTGGAGACACAGAGTGAGATGGTTCAGGTTACACAGCTCCAGTGGAGACGCAGAGCGAGATGGTTCAGGTTACACAGCTCCAGTGGAGACACAGAGTGAGATGGTTCAGGTTACACAGCTCCAGTGGAGACACAGAGTGAGATGGTTCAGGTTACACAGCTCCAGTGGAGACACAGAGTGAGATGGTTCAGGTTCACAGCTCCAGTGGAGACACAGAGTGAGATGGTTCAGGTTACACAGCTCCAGTGGAGACACAGAGTGAGATGGTTCAGGTTACACAGCTCCAGTGGAGACGCAGAGTGAGATGGTTCAGGTTACACAGCTCCAGTGGAGACACAGAGTGAGATGGTTCAGGTTACACAGCTCCAGTGGAGACACAGAGTGAGATGGTTCAGGTTACACAGCTCTAGTGGAGACACAGAGTGAGATGGTTCAGGTTCACAGCTCCAGTGGAGACGCAGAGCGAGATGGTTTTCACGGCGTCGCGAGAGAGTGGCAGCTCTGGGCATCCCCGCTAGAGGGTCATGTGGCCTACTCTTCCGCGTTGGCCAGAAGTTTTAGGAGCGTTAGTTCACTCTATCTGTGTGTGTGTGTCGAGAAACCCAGAGCCTGGGACGGAGCCTGAACTCCACATGAGGTTATGGACCAGACTGAGATGTTGACTGAAATCAAATAAAAACCGTGACCGGGTCTCACGGCGGCCTGCACTGCACCTCCGATTGGCACGGTTGGCTACGTACGGTGCGAAAGAAGTTCAACATTTAGTGCGTACTGCCCATAGACTAACACTGCCCATAGACTAACACTGCCCATAGACTAACACTGCCCATAGACTAACAACTACCCATAGACTCAACACTGCCCATAGACTAACAACTACCCATAGACTCAACACTGCCCATAGACTAACAACTACCCATAGACTCAACACTGCCCATAGACTAACAACTACCCATAGACTCAACACTGCCCATAGACTAACAACTACCCATAGACTCAACACTGCCCATAGACTAACAACTACCCATAGACTCAACACTGCCCATAGACTAACACTGCCCATAGACTAACACTGCCCATAGACTAACAACTACCCATAGACTCAACACTGCCCATAGACTAACAACTACCCATAGACTCAACACTACCCATAGACTAACAACTACCCATAGACTCAACACTGCCCATAGACTAACACTGCCCATAGACTAACAACTACCCATAGACTCAACACTGCCCATAGACTAACAACTACCCATAGACTAACAACTACCCATAGACTCAACACTGCCCATAGACTAACAACTACCCATAGACTAACAACTACCCATAGACTCAACACTACCCATAGACTAACAACTACCCATAGACTAACAACTACCTATAGACTCAACACTGCCCATAGACTAACAACTACCCATTGACTAACAACTACCCATAGACTAACAACTACCCATAGACTCAACACTACCCATAGACTAACAACTACCCATAGACTAACAACTACCCATAGACTCAACACTGCCCATAGACTAACAACTACCCATAGACTCAACACTGCCCATAGACTGTCACTGCCCACAGACTCAACACTGCCCATAGACTCAACACTACCCATAGACTCAACACTACCCATAGACTCAACACTACCCATAGACTCAACACTGCCCACAGACTCAACACTGCCCATAGACTCAACACTACCCATAGACTCAACACTACCCATAGATAATAATTGTTTTGTACCCTTCTATCTGGCAACAACACTGACACCTTTTTTTACAAGGAGTCATGTTTGCATAGACCACAATACCTGCAGTCATAATGCAAACAAAGGCCGCAGGTGGCGCCCCTCCCCGTGCGGCCTCCTCGCCAGCCCACGCCCCCCGCCTGCGTGCCCCCCGCCTGCGTGCCCCCCGCCTGCGTGCCCCCCGCCTGCGTGCCCCCCGTTTCTATTCCGGCTGATCTACCTGTGCCTCTGTTTCTTACTTTGTTGGCGGTGTCAGGGTGAGCGCCCCGGACTGCGAACCCGGCGACCCGAGTCCCGATTCCCGTTCACGGCCAACACTGGTGACAATTATTTGAACTGTTCCTGGCCTCGCCCCTAGGTCGACTCGGCCTCAAATGAGTAGCTGGTACGGTGTGTAAACATCGCCACTGGGGAGACAAAGGCGGCCGGGGGTCGTGCTGCAAACCCACCCCCTCGTGTGCCGTGCCGGCCTTCATAGGTGCTCGCTAACAGCACTTGCCCCAGCGGCCCGTGAACCCTGTACGGGGGATCTTTGTCTCTGTCTTTCTCTGCCTGTCTGCCTGTCTCTCTCTCTCTGTATCTCCGTCTCTGTGCGTGTCTCCGTTTGTCTCTCTGCGTGTCTCTGTTTGTCTCTCTGCGTGTCTCTGTTTGTCTCTCTGCGTGTCTCCGTTTGTCTCTCTGCGTGTCTCTGCCTGCCTCTCTCTGCGTGTCTCTGTTTGTCTCTGTGCGTGTCTCCGTTTGTCTCTCTGCGTGTCTCTGCCTGCCTCTCTCTGCGTGTCTCTGTTTGTCTCTGTGCGTGTCTCCGTTTGTCTCTCTGCGTGTCTCTGTTTGTCCCTCTGCCTGCCCGTCTCCGTACCTCGCTGCCTCGGTCTCTCTGCCTGCGAGGGATCGCCGCGCGCAGCAACCGGCAGACCGGCGCCCGCTCACCTTGTTCCCTGCAGGGACACCTGCCGCTGGGGTTACCCCCGCAGGCTCCACAGCAGAGCTATCGTTGCCTCCTAGCGGCTGACTGCCGCACAGGGACAGCTGCCACCGGGGGTGCCCTTTCAACCGCATTGGGATGCGGATGCCGGTCGCTCCCCGCCGTTGTTGCCGTCACCGTCATCGCCTTCAAAGTTTACCGTCGCCGTGCCCCGTCACCGTCCTCACCGTGGTGCCGGGCCCTGGCGGCCCGCGTTGCCGCCCGCAGGCCACGACCGCTGCGAGTACGTGGGCCTCTCCCTGTGGGCGTGGCCGCGAGGCGCCGCCGGCCCCAGCCGACTGACCGGGGCCGGCGCCTCGGGGTGCCCTCAGCCGGCGGCGCCGGCGGCGGCGACGGCGCGCTTCGCGTTTGCGCGCGACCTGGCGTGCGCCGTGGCGGCTCAGCTGGCGCGCTGGCCGGGCGAGCGGCTCGACTCGCCGCTGCTGGCGGGGCTGGACGCGGAGCAGCTGGCGCGCCTCGACCCGGCCGTGGCGGCCGCCCTGCAGCACCTGCGCGCCAGCGGGGAGCTGGCGCTGCCCGACGAGAAGCGGCACGGTGAGGCGGCGGCGGCGGTGGCGGCGGTGGTGAGGGTCGGAGATCGGTGGTGTGGGTCAGTGCAGGATTATTGACGTTTGGGGCGACAGGCAGAGGGGGTGTGTGATGTGTTGATGTGTGTGCGTGTGTGTTGTGCTGTGGGGAGCGGTGGTTTAGTGGTTAGCGCTACGCTGCGTTACGAACCCAGAAGCCCCAGTTCCATTCCTGCTCACGGCCAACACCGGTGATGATTATCTGAACCGTTTCTGTGCCTACCCTAGGTCGACTCAGCCTCAGATGAGAACCTGGTGCGGGCGTTGTGCTGGCTACTCACCCCCCCTTGTCTGCCATTCCGACCTTCATAGGTGCTTGCCCCTACAGCCTGTTGAGTCCACACGGCGGGGGATCTTTGTGTGTGTTTCTATATGTGTGTGTGTTTGTGTGTGTCTGTGTTTCTATGTGTGTGTGTGTGTCTGTGCGGGCAGCGCTGCTGGCCACCGCGCGCCGCCTCTCCCTGCCGTGCGTGCTCTCCTGCCTGCGCGCCGCCTTCCCAGCCGCCACCCTCGCCGGGGACACGGCGGGGGGTCGCGACCCCAACGGGGACGCCGCCGGCGAACGCCCCCCCGGCGCTGCCGAGCGGTGAGCGGCAATCGTCACCGGTGACAAACCGCCGGGGTAGATTCCCGGCGGCAGGGCGTGGGCGAGCCGTGTGCGTCCGGCTTGTGCCGGGACACCTTTCCCCCCTCGACAAACCCGTTAGCGAGCGGCACGGTGACGCTCGCTCAAGCGAGCGCCATCGCGAACCCGCGCACGCCGTGGGGGAGACTCTGATCCATCCGGCGTGTTGGGGGGGAGGGGGTGGGGGGGCGCTGTGGGGGTCAGGGGTGGCGGTGAAGGGGTCATCGTCGCCGGACGGAATTGACAAGGGCTGGGGGGGGGGCGTAGTGGTGGTAGTAATGACAGTGGTGGTGATGGTGGTGGTGTTGGTGGCGGTGTTGATGATGGTGGTGGTGTTGGTGGTGATGATGGTGGTGGTCGACGATGATGATGGTGGTGGTGGTGATGATCGTGTTGACGATGATATGATGGTGATGATGATGGTGGTGGTAGTGGCGACGATGATGATGATGACGGTGGTGATGGTGACGATGATGGGTCGTGGTGGTGACGACGACGACGATGATGGTGGTGGTGGTGACGATGATGGTAGTGGTGATGGTGGTGACGATGATGGTGGTGGTGACGATGATGGTGTTGGTGACGATGATGATGATGGTGGTGATGACGATGATGATGATGGTGATGATGATGATGGTGATGATGATGGTGATGATGGTGGTGGTGGTGGTAACGATGATGGTGGTGGTGACGATGATGATGATGGTGGTGACGACGATGATGATGATGGTGATGATGATGATGGTGATGATGATGGTGATGATGGTGGTGGTGGTGACGATGATGGTGGTGGTGACGATGATGGTGGTGGTGACGACGATGATGATGATGGTGATGATGATGGTGATGGTGGTGGTGACAATGATGGTAGTGGTGGCGGTGACGATGATGATGGTGGTGACGACGATGACGATGATGATGGCGGTAGTGGTGGTGATGTCATCTCACGCACAGACAGACGTGCACTTTGTCTGTGCGAGTGTGCGGGGGTTGATGGAACGCGGAGGAGACGTGCGGGTACAGCGATTCCTTTTGTTACCGCAATGTGGCAGGGCAGCAGAGGGGGGGGGGGCAGGGTGGTGTCCGATGGTCGGGGCTGGGCGGGGGCAGTGACCTCCCGCCCTACCAACCCCCCAGAATTCCTGCGCGCGTTGTCCAGGGTTTCCGATTGCTTCCCGGTCACACACGGAGCCGAGTTCGACTCCCGCTCACGGGCACCAACATCTGGGCCTCCCCTAGGTCGACTCGGCCTCAAATGAGTACCAGGTGCGGTGTGCAAACACCGCCACCGGGGAGACAAAGGCGGCCGGGCGTGGTGCAGGCCACCCACCCCCTCGCCTGCCGTGCCGGCCTTCATAAGTGCTCGCTAACAGCACTCGCCCCGACAGTCTGTTTAGCCCTTCCAGTATCCCTGCAAGTCGCCACCCGCCCCACCGTCCTGACATGCTGGGGTCTGTCCACTCGGGGTGTTCACACCCGCCGGCAGTCCCACCGCCCCCACCCCCCCACTCACCCCCCCCACTCACCACCCCCACCCACCCCCACCCACCCCCCCACTCACCCCCCCACTCACCACCCCACTCACCACCCCCACCCACCCCCCCCCAGCTGCGAGGCCGCGTGGGTTCCACGCTCCCAGCATGCCCTGGGAAAGGGCTCCTGGGTGACCTTTCACCCCCACCTGGACGTGGCGATGCTGAGCAGCAGGAAGGGCGGCCGCAGGGGGACCCAGCGAGGGCCCGAGGCCGACATCCGGCGCTTGGCCGACGTGCTGGCACGGCGCACGGCCCAGCAGGTGACAGCACCTCCCACCCCCCCACACCCCCCAGCCCCCACCCCCCCACACCCCCCAGCCCCCACCCCCCCCCGTCGTGGTGCCGCCGCCGGCGGCTGTGGGGTCACTCGCGCCGTCGCCGGGCGCAAATACGGAACGGTGGAGGGGAGACTGTGCGGCCCGGAGCGCTGAGAGCTGGCGTAGTACGAGTGTGGCGGTGGTGGCGGCGGTGGTGGTGGTGGTAGCGGTGTTGGTAGTGGTGGCGGCGGTGGTGGTGGCGGCGGTGGTGGTGGTGGTGCCGGAGGTGGTGGCAGTGTCTTGCGATGGCGGCGGTGGTGGTGGTGGTGGAGGTGGTGGTGGCGGTGGTGGTGGTGGTGGCTCCAGCCCCCACGCTGCTGCTGCTGCTGCTGGTGGTGGTGGTGGTGTTTGGCGCGCGGGGAGTAACGAGTGGCGGCTATCGCCGAGGGATTGACGCTGCCCTCCGCTGGCACCGCGTGTCTCCGCGTCTCGTGTGCCAGCTGATGGAGACGTCTCGGTCTGTGTTTGTCGCCCACTTGTGCCAAATATAGCCGTTCTCCCTCGCGCTCTCCCTCCCTCTCTCACTCCCTCCCTCTCTCGCGCTCTCCCTGTCTCACTCTGCCACCACCGGTGGCTGATGGTGCCGGTAGCACCCGTCGTGGCAGTTGAAACAAAGGGGGCGGGTGAGTGAGTGAGTGGGTGAGCGAGTGAGTGAGTGAGTGGGTGGGTGAGTGAATGAATGGGTGAGCGAGTTAGTGAATGAGTGAACGAGTGAGTGAGTGGGTGAGCGAGTGAGTGGGTGGGTGAGTGAGTGAGTGAGCGGGTGAGCGAGTGAGTGAGCGAGCAGGTGAGTGAGTGGGTGAGCGAATGAGTTGGTGACAAAGATCCCCCCGTGTAGAGTAGCAGCACCGGTGAAGTCCGGCACGGCATACGAGAGGGCGGTGGGTCGTAGCCAGCACCACGCCCGGCGGCCTTTACACACCACACTCATTTGAGACTGAGCCAACCTAGGGGAGGCCCAGGGCCGGTGCAGATAATCGTCACCGGTTTTGTTGGCCGTGAGCGGGAATCAAACTCGGGTCGCCGGGTTCGTACCGCAGCGCACAACCGCTCCCCGGCACCCACCAACACAGACCAACACGCAGAAAAAACACTGACCCACACAGACACACAGACAAACAGTGACCTACACAGACCCACACACACACAGACAAACAATGACCCACATAGACCCACACACACACAGAGAAAACACTGACAACACAGACACCCACAGACCAACACTGACCCACACAGACCCACACACACCCACAGACAAACAGTGACCCACACAGACACCCACACAGACCCACACTGACCCACACAGACCCACACACACAGACAAACAGTGACCCACACACACAGACCCACACACACACACAGATAAAACACTGACAACACAGACACCCACAGACCAACACTGACCCACACAGACCCACACACACAGACCCACACACACAGACCCACACACACATCAGCAACATCGCCCCCCTGTTGTGAAAGCCTGGCAGGAACCCCTCCTGGACGAGAGAGGCTCTGGGAGTCTCGTCCGCGGCCGTCCCGGGTAGATGATCTTTAAACGAAACAACAACAAACAACAACAACAAACAAACAAACGGTAAATAAGCGACGCACGCACGCACGGAGCGGCTCGTCTCGATGTAGGCGGCCACGCTGATCGGGCACCGCGTTGCCGCACGTTCGGCCCGTCCACGCTACCCCGCTGGAGGGGAGGGGGGGTGAGCCCCCTGGGGGGGGGGGGAGGGTGAGGGGGGGTGGGGGGGTGGGTCAGGTTTCATTGGGCCGGAGTTCCCAACCGTGCTGGCAGAGCAGCGAGTCTGCAGAACGACGAAGTGAAGTTCACCTAAATAAATAAATAATCAATGGTGAGTCGGCGCTCCACCCCCTTGGCTCCGGTCCCGTCTCTCGGCACAAACAAACACTCAACTTCAATATTGGACGCATCCCATCAGCCGGGCGACCCAGCTGGGGGAGTGCGTCACTTCGGCGGCATTGATCCGGTGCCGGCAAAACTGGTTTCGCCACGCAGCGCCTCATCAGCATTGCTGCCGAGCTGCCAGGTGTCACGGGCAAGGCCCCTCTCTGCGTCAACGACGGCTCCGTCTGCCTGCGTGCGCCAGCGCCTGCGTGCGCCTGTGCCGCTCACGCCTCGTGCAGCGCCATGTCACCTCGTCTGCCGAACGAGAGTCTTGAGGCTCGTCGCGAGGCTCTCTCTGGGCGAACGAGCGGAATGATAAATAAATAAATAGCCATTGCCCGGCCTGCTGGGCGGGCGGGCGAGGAGTGGGAGCGACTGACCCGGTGGGCAGAAGCCGGCGGATTTTGTAAACCCGCGTCATCCGGAAGGTGGTGCCAGAAAGTGGTGGCGGATGGTGGTGCCCAAAAGTGGTGCCGGATGGTGGTGCCGGATGGTGGTGCCGGATGGTGGTGCGGGATGGTGGTGGGGGATGGTGGTGCGGGATGGTGGTGCGGGATGGTGGTGCTGGATGGTGGTGCTGGATGGTGGTGCGGGATGGTGGTGGGGGATGGTGGTGCGGGATGGTGGTGGGGGATGGTGGTGCGGGATGGTGGTGGGGGATGGTGGTGGGGGATGGTGGTGCGGGATGGTGGTGCGGGATGGTGGTGGGGGATGGTGGTGCGGGATGGTGGTGGGGGATGGTGGTGGGGGATGGTGGTGCGGGATGGTGGTGGGGGATGGTGGTGGGGGATGGTGGTGCGGGATGGTGGTGCGGGATGGTGGTGCTGGATGGTGGTGCTGGATGGTGGTGCGGGATGGTGGTGGGGGATGGTGGTGCGGGATGGTGGTGGGGGATGGTGGTGCGGGATGGTGGTGGGGGATGGTGGTGGGGGATGGTGGTGCTGGATGGTGGTGCGGGATGGTGGTGGGGGATGGTGGTGCGGGATGGTGGTGGGGGATGGTGGTGCGAGGATGGTGGTGGGGGATGGTGGTGGGGGATGGTGGTGCGGGATGGTGGTGCGGGATGGTGGTGCTGGATGGTGGTGCGGGATGGTGGTGGGGGATGGTGGTGCTGGATGGTGGTGCGGGATGGTGGTGGGGGATGGTGGTGCGGGATGGTGGTGGGGGATGGTGGTGCTGGATGGTGGTGGGGGATGGTGGTGCGGGATGGTGGTGCTGGATGGTGGTGCGGGATGGTGGTGGGGGATGGTGGTGCGGGATGGTGGTGGGGGATGGTGGTGTGGGATGGTGGTGCGGGATGGTGGTGCGGGATGGTGGTGCGGGATGGTGGTGGGTGGTGCGGGATGGTGGTGCGGGATGGTGCGGGATGGTGGTGCGGGATGGTGGTGCGGGATGGTGCGGGATGGTGGTGCGGGGTGGTGGTGCGGGGTGGTGGTGCGGGATGGTGGTGGGGGATGGTGGTGCGGGATGGTGGTGCGGGATGGTTGTGGGGGATGGTGGTGCGGGATGGTGGTGGGGGATGGTGGTGCTGGATGGTGGTGCGGGATGGTGGTGGGGGATGGTGGTGCGGGATGGTGGTGGGGGATGGTGGTGCGGGATGGTGGTGGGGGATGGTGGTGCGGGATGGTGGTGGGGGATGGTGGTGGGGGATGGTGGTGCGGGATGGTGGTGCTGGATGGTGGCGCGGGATGGTGGTGGGGGATGGTGGTGCGGGATGGTGGTGGGGGATGGTGGTGCGGGATGGTGGTGCGGGATGGTGGTGCGGGATGGTGGTGCGGGATGGTGGTGGGTGGTGCGGGATGGTGGTGCGGGATGGTGGTGCGGGATGGTGGTGCGGGATGGTGGTGCGGGATGGTGGTGCGGGATGGTGGTGCGGGGTGGTGGTGCGGGGTGGTGGTGCGGGGTGGTGGTGCGGGATGGTGGTGGGGGATGGTGGTGCGGGATGGTGGTGCGGGATGGTGGTGCGGGATGGTGGTGGGGGAAGGTGGTGGGGGATGGTGGTGCGGGATGGTGGTGGGGGATGGTGGTGGGGGATGGTGGTGCGGGATGGTGGTGCGGGATGGTGGTGCTGGATGGTGGTGCGGGATGGTGGTGCGGGATGGTGGTGCTGGATGGTGGTGCGGGAAGGCGGTGCGTGCGGGTGGGTGGGCGTCAGGCACTCGAAGCCGCGTTGTCGTCGTCGTCGTCGCCGTGCCGTCAGGGAGGGAGCGAGAATCGAGCTCCGCCACTAAAGTGTCTCCCGGCGTCGCGCCAAAGCCGCTCAAGTGGGTGAGCCCATCGGGCGACGCGCAGAGTGGGGGGGGGGGCCGGTGGGGGGCCCCGCCAGGCGTCCGTCACCCTCCAACGTTCACCCCCAACCCCCCCCCCCCCCCCTGTCACTCAGAGCCGCGTGGCCGCTTCCTCGCCGCGGCAGCAGCAACAGCAGGATTTGTGAAGGGCCGGCTGTGAGCGAGAGGGGGTGGGGGGTGGGGGGTGGGGGGGAGCTCGGGGGAGAGGCGGTTGGGTTCGTGTGGGAGGGAGACGAGTTGCGGGGCCGCCACCGCCACCACCACCGCCACCGCCCCAGCCCAGCTGTTGTGAATGCCTCCATTGAGCAGGAAGCGTCGCGACCGCTACCGCCGCTGCTTAGGCGGAGTGAGCGAGAGAGAGAGAGTGAGGCGGTGAGAGTGTGAACGGGTATAGAGTAAGAGAGTGAGTGAGTGAGAGAGAGAGCGAGTGAGCGAGCGAGTGAGAGAGTGAGCGAGCGAGTGAGTGGGTGGGCGAGTAAGCGAGTGAGAGAGTGAGCGAGCGAGTGAGTGGGTGGGCGAGTAAGCGAGTGAGTGAGTGAGAGAGCGAGTGAGTGAGTGAGTGAGAGAGCGAGTGAGTGAGTGAGCGAGTGAGTGAGTGAGCAAGCGAGTGAGCGAGCGAGTAAATAACAGAGTGAGTGAGAGAGCGAGCGAGTGAGTGAGCGAGTGAGCGGGTGAGTGAGGTGTTGGAGTTTTTAACGTCGCCCGGCTCAGGTCACAGACGCCGTCGGCGCGAGCGC